GCACGGAAACAAAACCATGACACTACCACTTGTTGTCATCAAGGGAGCAGGTTGTAACCTCCTTGGACGAAACTGGTTTCCTCACCTGGGTATACAGATCACGGGCATCAATGATGTATCCGGCGATGAACTTGTTTCGAAGCTTCTCGACAAGTACCAATCTGTATTCGACGAGGACATATCAGGACACATCGGTCCAGCGGTACAACTAGACCTCGTGGAAGGAGCGAAACCAAAGTTCCTAAAAGCACGGCCGGTTCCTTTCGCGCTCCGGTCAGCTGTAGAAGCAGAATTGGATCGACTGCAAAGTCAAGGCATAATCGAGCCAGCACAGCATTCGGATTGGGCAACGCCTCTCGTACTGGTTCGAAAGAAGAATGGCTCGTTGCGAATATGCGGCGACTACCGTTGCACAGTGAACCAGGTATCAAAGAAGGCAGACTACCCACTTCCCTCAACTGATGAAGTGCTCAGCCACTTGAGGGGAGGCAAGGTCTTCAGCACCCTGGATTTAGCACAAGCGTACCAGCAACTTCACGTGACGCCAGAGACAGCAGAGATATTGACCCTGAACACGCTGAAGGGACTATACAGGGTCAAGAGATTGCCTTTCGGAATTTCTGCAGCCCCAGCCATTTTTCAACGTTTTATGGAGACAATGCTGTCAGGCATCACAGGCGTGTGCGCATACCTAGATGACGTGATCATCAGTGGGAAAGACGCCACGGAACACGCCGAGAGACTGGAAGAAGTGCTGAAGAGGCTACGAAACTACAATCTGCGCCTCGGAAAAAACAAGTGCTGCTTTGCGGTGCGACAAGTTTTCTTTCTGGGACACCGAATCGACGAGACAGGCGTCCACACAAACGAAGAGAAAGTTCGAGCCATAACGGACGCTCCAGCACCAAACTGCAAACAAGCGCTTCAATCATTTCTCGGAATGCTGGCTTTCTACGACAGATTCTTGAAGAACAGGGCAACAGTTGCCAGCTGCCTATACCAGCTTCTTCAGAAGGACGCCACGTGGAGATGGGAGACAAAGCATCAAGAAGCCTTTGACAAGCTTAAGGCATTGCTGCTCAGTCAGACCGTACTGGCACACTACGACGAACAGAAGGAGCTTCTTGTCTCTTGTGATGCTTCACCATATGGCATAGGAGCTGTTCTGTCTCAACGTGATGACCAGAATAGAGAGGCGCCAATCGCTTTTGCATCTCGGACGCTAGGGCCGGCAGAACGCAAATATGCTCAATTGGACAGAGAAGGCCTTGCTGTGGTGTTTGCAGCCCACAAGTTCCACAAGTATATTGCGGGAAGAAAGGTGACTTTCGTCACTGACCACCAACCACTGCTCGGCATACTGGGTCCACAAAAGCCAACGGCTCAAGTCCTTTCTCCACGGATGACCAGATGGTGCATCAAGTTATCGGCGTATGACTACAGCATAATCTACAGGCGTGGCAAGAACCATCAAAACGCGGATGCGTTGAGCCGTTTGCCATTACAAGAACGTCTCGATGAACCCTGGCCTCCAGGTGACGTACTATTGTTCGAAGCGTTATCGAGACCTCCGTTGACTGCTGCCGAGATAGCACGCCTGACACAACAAGACAGCATCATGCAGAGGTTGTACAAGGCAGTGCAGGATGGTACAGTGGAGAAACTCACTGGAGATGAGTTTGCTCCTTACCGACGACGAGCGACCGCACTAGCACTACAGCGCGAGTGCATCACATTTGGATCCCGAGTGATCATACCGAGCTCAGCACGATCCCGTGTTCTGGCACTTCTGCATGCGGGTCACAGAGGCATGGTAGCCATGAAGAAGTGCGCAAGGAGCTACGTATGGTGGCCCGGAATGGACAAGGTGATCGAGGAAACGGTGCGACAGTGCCGTGAATGCCAAGCAACGCAAAAGAGCCCACCCAAAGCTCCTATTCCTACGTGGGACCGTCCCCAGACAGCATGGAACACGGTGCACGTTGACTTCGCGGGGCCACTACTCGGACGCACCTACTTAGTTGTTGTGGACGCATACACAAAGTGGGTGGAAGTCCGGCACGTGACACAAGCAACATCCGCGGCTGTAATCGACGTGCTCCGAAGCCTCTTTGCAACGTTCGGCATTCCCCGAAAGGTCATCTCCGACAACGGAAAAGCATTCATCTCCAACGAGATCAAGCAGTTCTATGCGTCGAACGGCATACAGGCTGCAACCTCACCAGCATATCATCCGGCAACAAACGGCCAGGCAGAACGCTATGTGGCGGAGCTGAAAAGAGCGCTGTTGAAAGATGCAGACAAGTCCATACAGTGCCGACTTGCAAGATTTCTGTATCGGCAGCACACGACAATACACACTACCACAGGTATGACACCGGCGAGAGCGATGTTCGGACGAGAATTGCTCTGCCCTCTCGATCTTCTTAAGCGGGAGACGGATAAGCGAAGTCCTGAGAGCCAGGAGGCATTGCAAAAATCACGCCGCTTCGCTATAGGGGATAGAGTGCTTATCCGGCAGTTTTTGAAAAAGCCAGATTGGATTGAAGGCGAAATACTGCGCCGCGTCGGACCACGATCCTGGCTTGTAAAAAGCGACCAAGGAAAGGTTCGGCGTCACCTCAATCACATGAGGAAAACGAGTCAGACCAGACAAACAACCCAATCGCGGACAGATTGGAGCGCAGCTGACGATCTCTTGGACGCAACGCCAGAAGAGACGCCATCGAGCTCAGCTGCTCAACCGCCTGAATCGCCCGAGATGCAAGATCACACTCCCTCGCAACCGTCGACGTCACAGGCAGTGGCCACTCGGCAACTGCGACCACCAGAGGTTAGGCGACCTCCAGACCGCTATGGAGACTTCGTCTAAGGGAGGAAGAGTGACATGTCGCCTTAGAAGACGACATTAACGAAGTGCGCGCGGGGCACTGGCGCTGTGGCTCGAGCGCGAGCCTGGCGTCGAACGCTGGCCAGGAGTGACTCCAACGCCTGGGCTACGCTTTTGAACTTGTTCACGTTTCCTGTCCTTTAATAAATCGTCTACAGTCACAAGCGGCTGTACAGACGTAACAAATCGCTTCCTGGGCCTTTGCGACCAGTGCTCGTTGGTATCCTATATAGGTTCCGTGTGATGACCTCTCACGTCTCGTCTAGAGGGTTTGTACTAACGTTCGTTGCGGGCTTGGCATGGGCGTGCACCCGAGGGGGGTGGACAGAGGGGGAAAGAAGGGGTGCATGGCCCCATACACCGTAATAGTTAGGAGGGGGATGCTGCGACTCAGAAGGGGGGAGGGAGTGCAAGGTGCGAAGTTCACCGCATACATTGACAGACTAGGGACAGGGGGGGGGCATGCAACGAACCCTTGCCCCCCCCTCTTTTTGGTTTTGCCACTTTCATGGTGCCGCGGGCCCTCGAGTATTAACTGTGCCAGATTGTGTCTGGCACGCCTGGTTGCCCCTAACCCGTTTCTCACGCAGCTGCGGAGTATTTTGGCGTACGACTTGATGCTATCCCCATTACAGTTAACTGCGATCCACGGGAGAAAGCGTGAACGTAACATTAAAAAATGCCACCTTGCATGTCGATGAACGCCAGTAGAAGCGCGGCAACCAGGTAACGAGCCATGCTTGAGCGCAGCGTCGATGTCGAGGAGTTGGATGCACGAAAGCTGAATAATATTCAATGAACGCTTTTAACAACGTTCCAAAGCCTCCGAGTGAGCGTTTCTCTTTCTCTTCTTCTGTGTTACGAGTGCACGCGCACAAATCAGAGCAAGGCCGTTTTCAGTGCATGAGAAACGAAGATCATAATGATGATGACGAGTCTGAAGCCTAAACTCCGAGAGAAAATATCTATTATGAGGTACAGTGTGGCCAATCCCCCATGTGGGTATGAGCCAAGATCTCCTAGGCGACAAGACAAGACAAAACAAGCCTCACCTGTGCACCGCTGTCATGGAGGAACGAATATTTCTTGCTCCATGACCGCGTTAAATCGGCAACGCCACCACAAGGAAAGGCACTGGGAAGGGCTTCTTAACTAATGTGGTAGATCTTGGCCAGTCCCACATTGCCAGTGTGTGCCATTGTTTCAAGGATTCATACTCTGATGTACTACAACTGTATCTGTGCGAGCTCCACACGCATTAGTGGCCCTGTTAGGTATAGATCACAGCGTAAAAAAACTATAGACCATCTTCCCGAAGCTGCTTCGCAATCCTGATGGGATGCGAAGCAGCAGCGGTGCGCTCGGCGTTGACCCGGCTGAAGTTTTTCAATGTGCGGAGGGAGCACTTAAGGGGGGCGTTGTCTCCTGTCATGTTGCCGTCGTCGGTTGGCGCAACGCTTAACGTGTAGCATAGTGGCATGTGCTCACGCCAAGGAGAAGTATCTGTCCTCTCGTACTTTGAGCGCCTTGGTGATGATCACTTAGTGTAACAAAGAGAAAATGACTTAAAGAATGAAAAAAAATCAAGAAAGTCGTCATTAATTGAAAGAGAAAGAAAAAGAAATAGATGAAAAAATAGACAGAATGAGTTAGAAAAAGAGATAAAGAGAGAAGAATAAATGAATATAAATAATCATAGCGAAAATAAACAGAAAACCGAATTAAGAGCAACCAAGAAGGTTGCCCAGCTCCGTAATTTCTTCAAGCTTGGCACCCCTACAGATAAAGGCCGCTTTAAATTTCTTTCCTTGTGGCTTTATTATTTCTTGATTTCACATGTTTTTGTGCGTCTTCATTAATGTTATAGTTATGACGGAATAGGTGGCTATAATTTAACCGACCCTTCCATGTTCTTCCGCTACAACTAAATAAAAAACAGCTATGGAAACAGAAAAAAACAAAGGGGAGAGCGCGCGCGCGCGTCGCGTTCCATGTGCGAGTTCATCAGTATCATCATCAACATCTGGGCGGGGCTCGAAGCTCGCGAAGCAGGAGCTGCTGGTCTTCTTCGAAAAGCACCTCTTGGTTCACCGCTACGATCGTGTCTTACCAGCGAGATGGTTCCACTGAGCCAAGGCCATGGGTCGTCTCCAGTGCAGCTCCATCGTGGAGCCACTGGGCGACGAGATGTCGAGCAGCATCTGGGAGCAGGCCCGTGAGAAGCTTAAGCCTTTCGTCGAGACAGAACTGAAGGTATGTGGGCGCGTGCTTTGCAAGGAATTGCCAGCGGCGGCTTGGACAGTTTCGCACGTTTTTTGCAGACGGCTCTACTAACGAACAGCTAGAAGAGTTAGGGCAGGGTCTTGTGTTGTGATGTCATTGTAGTTTCAGTTTCGTTCTTTTCATTTCACCCGAGAGGAGGTGTTGTGTATGCGTCTCTGTCCTGTATGTGTGTCTGTGTCCTTGAGAATAAAGGGGAGATTTGAGACTGTTCGTAGTCCTTCTTCAGAGACTAGGCCTATTTGGTTGTACGTAGTTCAAATTGGCAGCGTGTTGAGACAGAAAATACGATGCAGTTAGGGACTGTTACGCCTGCGAGTCCACACCTAACGTCAATGCCTCTGCAAAAGGCAATCTGTGTCAAGGCCAGCATTGAGCCCACCTAACGCGATCAACTGAACGACGTCATCAAGCGGCGGCGCCGGTCTGTCACGCAACCCACCGCGAGCTCGCTCAGCCCGCGAGCCCGTTGAAACTATCGGCGCCTTCCAGTCCGACGAGTCTTACGCAATGCATGGAAACGTCACTCGTCATTGGCTGCAACCACGCGCAATGATCGGTGTCTTCGAGTCTGGCGAGTCTTACGCAATGCGTGGCAACATCACCTAGTCCTTGGTGCAACCACTCGCAGCTGCGGGCCCGATTGGAAGATTCCGACATCGTGGCCAGCGGCGCTTCTGGTTGGACATTTGCTTATTCAAAGGATCCACCCGGTGCCCATAAATAAAAAATTGCCCGCAGCTTCCCTCGGGGGAACACTGAGGAGGATGCGGAGCATATAATTGGTTAACGGGGTGTTAAAGTGCGACTTACTTGGGTCGATGGCTAAATTGGTTAACGTGGTTGTAAAATGGGGTGTTAAATTGCGACTTACTTGGGTCGCTGGCTAAATTGGTTAACGTGGTTGTAGGAGGGGTGTTAAATGAGTGAACACGTACGACACGTATGCGAAAGGGCGGTGTTTATTTATTGCGACGAACTTTGAGCACGATGGCTTTTTGGTCGGTAAAGTGAAGAGTGAGTGGATCGGATTGCAGCGGTCGTAGGTCGAAATTTGCAAAGACGTGGTCGATGCAGGTTCCGCGAATGGTGGTCGGCTGGTGGTGTTTGCAGTCGTCGTGCGTTGCGCGTTTCAGCGAGTGTCGCGACGCCATGTATTCGACTATCCAATCGTCCTTGATGACGTCGACGTTGAAGGCGCCAACTAGCATGAACGGTCGATGTTGCGGTTGTTGTTTTCTGTAATCTTGCACGGCTTCGTCGACGTACTTTTCTACGGCGGCACGAGAGAGGTTTGGCGCGAGGTACATCGTCATGACGTCGACGCCACAGACGGTAGCAACGCAGTGCTCGCCGTTGGCGCGTTGTTGAACGCCGGGCTGTGTAGAGGAGGAAGGGTGCACAGATGGTGGAGGAGTGAAGCGCGCGCGGTGTGTAGAGGAGGAAGGGATGCACAGATGGTGGAAGAAGGAGGAGAAAGCTTGCGGACGGCGCCGCACTACAAGCCTCTAGTATTAGATGCTCCGCATCTAAAAGCCCTGCGGTGCGTCGCCAGCAGTAGACCTATGTGTCAGAGAAGAGAGCTCGGCTCTTCGAGTCTCTAAGCTGTCGGCCCCAGTGCCGAATTTGTAACGCTCCTATTTCTTTCCTGTACATAAACTTTGCCTTAACTCAACGTGGTCTCGCCCGTTCGCCTATCAGCTTTGCGCAGAAGCAGTCGCGAGCTGAGTAACACGCGCTACCAAACGGCTGGTGACCGTGTCGGCGGAGTTCGGAGCAGTGGCGCCTTCGGGACTGTGTTGGCGCCTCGTCTTCTCAACAGGACACAAGGAGACAAGACAAGCATGATCCTATAAATTGGGGAGCCTGCCTGTGACGTTCTTTTACGTGTGTCTTAGTTGGACACTGCAAAGTTCAACAAGGATTAGGTTTCCGTTATGTTCAAGATGGTCCAAGAAGTGCTTACTAAGCATGCTCGAGTTTTAAAAAAAAGGTTCCGCAATTGCACATGAAGAAACAAAGCATTTTTGGCGCCATCGCTGAATAATAAAAAAGAAACTTCACTAACGAAGCAGGAAAGAGTGAAACATTGACTTCAATGGGCCCTGCAACAATTTTGGAACATCATCATCCATGGAAATACTGCCGATCGGTAGCAGAGGCTCAATATAGCGCAGAACACGGCCTGGAATTCATGATAAAATACGGCTGGTTTTCATGACGAAATATTGAGAAAAGTGATCTTGGGGAGCTCAAAGTTTCGACAGTTCATTCATGATATCCTGCGTCGAAAATAATAGGCACACATGTGTAGAGTAAGCTAAGCTCACATTGAGAGCACACTAACTAATCACAATATGTGAACTTGTTCTCTACCTACTAGAAAGACAAAGTATCACTGATACCTAATGAATTAAAGTCGGCTAAAAATGACTTCTCTCGAAAAAAGAAGATCCAAGCTGAAACATTTCTTGTCTTAGCCATTGCATCAGCCATTGCTTGATTTGAGCTTCCCACGCTCTGTCGTTATTCGGGCCGTCGCGGGAGGCCGCGACTTGTCAAAGCGAGCACGCGTGATTGCACTGAAAAACCACGTAGCTGAAACAAAAAAAAAAATGTGAAAAAAGTGCTGAATATTTCGAGGCGTGCCTGACGTACTTTATTTTGCCGTGCAATCCCTCTTTGCTTAGCTTCCCGCGCTTTCGTTGGAACGACAAGAGAGAGAATGCAATTGCAGCGTGCGACAAATCTTAATAACTCCACTAGCACTGTACAGATACTAAAAACATTTTCGGCGTTTTTTTTTGTGTGGCAATGAGCACTTTGAATAAATTCATTGCATGGCTACTTGAAAAAGTGTTGTAGGGTTTCTCTACATAATCTAGTTGGTGAGCAAGGTTTGTACTGATTGTTTCTTAGCAATTAAACTTCACTTCCAAGCTCTAAAAGGTCCTTGAGAAACCACTGGCCTATTTAGCTGCTGGCGTCTCCTAAACAGTGTTCATCATGCTCCTTTGCAAGCTGCAAAAACCTGCTATTAGACGAGCGCACTGCGTGCGGATTAGACCGAATACTTCTATATGTGTCTTTGACAAGGCTATTGTAATTTTCACCCACTTAGAAATCAGCACTCAAGCCTGCATGGGCGAATATTCAGAAAAAATTAAACGGGGGGACAAATTTGCCGTGGCAGGTTTTATTTTTAGTTAAACAAGATTTAAAACCACGTCTTGAAGTGCAAGACAAAAGAGAACATGGGTTCCCAGTGCGCGTAATCTCATTGTTCTGTTCAGTATTATCTGAAACAGTTTGAGTGCTAGTTGATTTCAGTAGTTTCACAGAGCTGAGAGGTATTGAAGACGGGTACACGCTAGAAAGTATAAATGCGCTGAAAAGGTTAAATTCGCTATGGTCCACTGTGCAGCCATTCAGACACATCATGTTGGCAACCAGCATCTCCCCTCTCTCCGATCTGAGCACAAGAAGGGTTTAGTACCTCCCTGCCCCCCAGCTCTACGTCTTACGCCACCGCAAGCTTGCACTTATCGTTAGAGCTTTACGTAAGCTCCAGTGGTACCTAATTTAGAAATTGCCTCTCTGGTAGAGTACACTGTATCTCTCGTGCAAGCAAACATGTGGCATTAATCCTACTGTATTGTTAAAGCACACCATCATAATGAAAAAACGGCTTGCGCGCAGCGCAAATAGAGCACGCAAACTATTTCACTCGTACATCCTGCGCAGGTACGCGACCTCTTCTTCTCCAACAAGAACGAGATGGATAACATAGCAAAGCTGCAGGCCCGCGATGCCCTGTGGCGCTTTAGCTGTGGCAACAAGCGCACCACCATTATAGCGGTGCGCGACGTGCTGGAGAAGTACCAGATGAAACGCATGTTGCAGTTTCTCAACTCAGTGATCCGCGACGCCCTGGGCGGCACCCTCTTCCGCAAGCCCATCATCAGCGCCAACGCGCAACCGCTGCTCAAGCAGTGGGGCAAGACCATCGTTGTCGCTCGCCGTGCGTTCGGAAACCAGCACCTGGACAGGTACAGTACCAATGCTTTGTTCAATCTTGTTAAATGCGAAGCATTTCTGAGCGAACTTCAGCGAATTAGAGCACATCCATCCGTCCGTCCGTCCGTCCGTCCGTCCGTCCGTCCGTCCGTCCGTCCGTCCGTCCGTCCGTCCATCCATCCGTCCATCCGTCCATCCATCCATCCATCCATCCATCCATCCATCCATCCATCCATCCATCCATCCATCCATCCATCCATCCATCCATCCATCCAACATAACAGAGACGTTATCCGAAGGTTCTAGGTTTGGTTCCTACCGTCAGCAACTTGTCCGTTCATCCACTTCAATTTCTTCACGTTAATGCTTCATTGTCTGTCAGTCTCATTGGGTGGTGTCTGGTAAAAAAAAGCCAGGCCTTCATCAACTCCTGTTGCTTCACGCAGACGTGTATGCAATAATTTGTGAAGAGTGAATATCTTAAGTTTTCTATAGGACTTACCAACAACTTATCCTGCTACCCAGGTCATTGCACACGGAACACGGCTTCGTGTTGGTCTGCAAGACGTACTACAGCGAAATCCAGTCCTGGTTCGTGGCTCAGGGTTTCAGCTTGTTCGACCTGATCATCAGCGGCCTCTTCCCCGACGATCCAACCATGTTTGCAAACGTCGCCGAACGCACCATTACGAAGCACTTCCGCTGCTACATTACTAGTCTGGAGATGTCCATGAACTCGATGGCCGCCATGTTCAGGTGTACGAAAGAAATGCTACGCAGTACCAAGCTGGACAACGACTCCAGGCTAGTCGACTTTGCCAGGATGCTAGAGAAGGCGGTTGCC